GTAGACATACCACAGTTACTTTGTTTTTACAGGCTAATTTCTGTAGCGGGCTGATGTGCAGAGTGCTAGTATAATTTTTGAGGCTGCTGTTTAAGATACACTTTCAAAAGGATTTTACGTTGGAAATAAATCTATTTTTTAATGAAAAGGAATAAATGTTGCGCAGGAGCCATGCTAATCTTCTCTGTATCATTCCAATTTTAGTATATGTGCTGCCTAAGTGAAGCCCTGTGTCTGGAATGTGGTCAAAACCTTATGACCACTAGGGCATGGCTTATGAGCTTTAAATATTGGCTTTGGCTGCATTATAACCTCGACCCTTCCAGTTACAATTATCAACTTTTAATGGAATCTGAGTTTTCACCTTGGTTACTACCATAGAGAGTAAACTGGGAACCTTGAATATCCCCCTCAAATCTCTCCTTTTACTTTCAGAAACGGAGGCATTTCAAAAAAATAAGGAACAGATTACTGGAGGTAGAGCTATCCAATCTGTACAATGCAGCCAATAAAACCTGCTCTCCCCTTAGCCATGGGATATTTCCCATTGTAGTACTTCTTCCTAGTTATCTCTACCAACTATAGACTCCAAAATTCTGTAGAACTTTTTCTCTTACTAGGCTTAACATTTTACCTTCAACAATTTTAACCAGAAGATTTCAGGGTATACCCCTTACTAATAGACATTTCCCTCGTTTAAATGGAACCATTGAAACAGTGCCTCATGTTGTTAGAGTGTCCTTATTATAATAATACTAGACAAAGTATTTTATCTTCAATTTTATCCAGTATTATGGATTTTCCTGATACGTATAAATTGTTTTTTTCTGCTTAACAACACTGATGACAACATAACTGATTCTGTGGCAAAGTTTTTATATGCTGCTGTTCTTATATGAAGCAATGTACTGTAATTTGGGGACATTTTAATTCATGATTCATTCTGTGTTCAGTCCTTTTATGTATATGTCTTACTGTCCTCCCTTTTATAATGCCAATAAAGGTAAACTAACTAACTGAATAAATGTTGGGTATCGTTTATAATGTAGG